CAGACTGGGTGGCTTAAAAAAACAGAAATATGGGGCAAGCAGGTAGCATAGTGGTTAAGGTGCTGGACTCTTACATGGCCGACCATGGTTTGAGTCCTGCACCTGGTGGCTTGAAAATCACACTGGTAGGGACCAGCAGTTACTGTAATGGCTATGTCGCTGAACTCCCATGTAGTTGACTGCGGTATGAGTCCGGAACCAGGTGGCTTATACTCACACCGGGCACGTGTACATGCATGCCCAAGATCCTGAGAGCATAATGGAGGAGAACGGATTATGGCGTGGCCATCCCCCCTGGGGGGTGATTTCTCGCTTTCTGTCTGTCTCTCTCTGTCTCTCTGGCGAGCGCACTTGCCCTATAACAAAAACCTCTCCAAAAAAAGAAAACAAAATCACACTGGGCTTGTGTAGGTGCGTGCATGCATGCTCAAAATCCCAGGAGGAGAAAGGATTGTGACATGGCTATCCCCCAGGGGGTGATTTCTCACTTTTCCTTTCACTGTCTCTCTGGCAAGAGCATGCACCCTATAGCAAAAAAAAAAAAAAAAAAAAAAACCCACAGAGATACATCTACTTATGGTTCTGTAGGCTGCGAAAATCAAGATATTAGCAGGTCTGGTTTCTTCTGAGGCCTCTCTCTTTTGCTTGTCTTCTTCCAGTGCTTTCACTGGTCTCTCCTCATATCTGTCTGTGTCCTAATATCTTCTTTTTATTTATTCATTTAATTTCAAATTCTTTTACACATTCAATCATGTTATTTAGCTTGCAAAGTGAATATTCCAACATGTGTATACGTATTAAGAAGAGAGAAAGGAACCAGGTAAATTAAGTCTGCAGTGAAGCAGGCAATACAACAGACATAGTAGAAATATAAAACATCATTAGAGGATACTATGAACAACTATATGCCAAGAAACAAGAAAATCTGGATGAGATGGACAAATTTCTGGACACATATAATCTAATATCTTTTTATAAAGATACCAGCCAGACATATTAGATTAAGACCCACTGCTGCCCTGTGAGTCAGTCCATAACAGTGAATAATAGGGAAATTTAAATATTTCATTTGAGGGACTCCCACATAGCCAACCATGGTTCGAGTCCCAGACCCGGTGGCTTAAAGCATGCCAGGCCCGTGTGTGTATGCCTATTTGCCCAAAATCCTGAGAAGAGAATGAAGGACAAGGGATTGTGGTGTGGCCATCACCCCTGGGGGAGTGGTGATTTCTTGCTTTCCATTTTTGTGTCTCTCCCTGTTTCTCTGGCAAGTGGACGTGCCCTATGGTAAAAATCTCTCTTTAAAAAAGTAAAATAAAATGTAAATAAATATTCCATTCAGATATTAAAGAAATTCTTAGGTTGTTGAAATACTTTTTCATTGACTATTTAATAAATACATCTCTACTTCTTGTCTTTTCATAGATCCAAATGCTTCCTTCCTTCCTGCTCAGAATTTTGCCCTTGCTGTTTTCCTGAAGCCACTGGCTTCCCCAGAGTGGGTGGTGAGAAGAGAATACTGGTGCTCTTCTTCCTTTTGGAATTCTGGAATAAGTTTTGTCAGAAAACAAAAGGATACTTGGATGCTTTTCTTTAAAATGACGATGATGACCTACTGGGTGCTTATTCTGGGAGAATCACAGCAATCTGCAGAGTAGATTTTGTTGCCTCTGCTTGGTAAATAAAGAACCTGAGGCTCAGAGAGGTGAAGTGACTGGCCATGAATACTTTTTCCTTTGGTTTTTATTTCTTTCTTAGGGCACCTACTTTCTCCTACGAAAAGAAATTAGAAATGTGGGAAAGATGTGAGAGATATATTAGGTTCATATCCCTCAGCTCGGTGGCAAGCGAGATCTTGAGGTCCCAGAAGCTACAGGGCCAGTAACGCCATGACTGAATTCCAAGTGGGAAGAGGTTTGAGGGCATCGCACAAGCTACCTCTTAAACTGGGTCGATTGACTGGATTCCTGTAGACTCAAGAGTTTTGGACTCTGGCCTGGATTGAATAACAGTTGTCATGACAACACTGATTCAGAAAGTGGGCTAAAGAGAAAGCTTCAGGATAGGCAGTACGAATGCTAGAAAGGTGGCTTACCAGCTTTGTGATAGCATGGGATCATAGGAAGGTATTACTGGGTAGTTTGCAATGAGCCATACCAATGGTTCCCCACCTGAGTATCAGGGCAGGGACAATTGTTTGGGTTTCCAACATAGAAAAAATTTTTAAAGATTTATTTCATGAGATTACAAAACAGATAGAAAGTCAAGCATCCCAAACAGGATTTCATGCTGTAATTTCCTCCCTCCTAATCCCTCCATTCCCCTTCCCCACCGCCTGACCTTCCCAGCCAGCCAGGATCAAGGACAGGGAACTGAACCCCCAATCTTCCTATGGATCACTTTAGGGATGTGTTATGGCTGCACCATTGCACCATAACACATATATAGATAGTTCTCTCTATCTATAGAGAACTTTGAGATAGATATAGGCCTTGACATCTGCTTTTTTAAATAGTTACCAAAGTAAATCTCATGTACAGCCTACATTAAGAACAAATGAATGGGGGGAACCAGCAGTTAGCATAATGGCTATGTCGCTGGACTTCCACATAGTCGACTGTGGTTCACGTCCCGGACCAGTGGCTTAAAACTCACGCTGGGCGCGTGTGCATGCGTGCCCAAGATCCTGAGAGGAGAATGGAGGAGAAGGGATTGCAGCGTTGGGGGATGATTTCTCGCTTTTGTCTCTCTGTCTTTATCTCTCTGTCTGGCGAGCGCACGTGCCCTATAGCGAAAATCTCTCCAAAAAAAAGAATAAATGAATGGGGACCAGCAGGTGGCATGGTGTTAAAGTGATGGACACTCCCACATGGGAAATTATAGTTCGAGTCCTGGACCTGGTGGCTTACTTTCTCACTTTCTCTCTCTCTCTCGTGTCTCTCTCTCTCTGGTCAAATAAAAATAAATGAATGAAGGGACCAGCAGTTAGCGTAATGGCTATATCACTGGACTCCCACGTAGTCGACTGCGGTTCAAGTTCTGGACCTGGTGGCTTAAACTCATGTCAGGCACGTGTGTGTGTGTGCCCAAGATCCCGAGAGAAGAATGGAGGAGAAGGGATTGCGACGTGGCCATCCCCTCTGGGGGGTGATTTCTCGCTTTCTGTCTCTCTGTCTCTCTCTTTCTCTGTCTGGTGAGCGCACACGCCCTCTAGCAAAAAACTCTTCAAAAAATAAATAAAAAATTAAATGAATGAATAAGTAAAATTAAATAATTCCTAAAGTAAAAAAAGAATGAATGAGCAAGGCTACAAGTTGGTAAGCTAGGCTCATCAGCCAAACCTGACCCCCTGCCTGTGTTTGCATGGCCTAGGAACTAAAATTGTTTCTACATTTTTACATGGATGGAAAAAAAATCAGAAGAAGAAGAATTCTGTGACACATAAATATTCTATGAAATTTAAATTTCAGTGTTCACTATTCCTTTATATATTTATCAGGTCATTCCTTTATATATTGTCTGTGGCTCCTTTCACACTACACTAGCCAAGCTGTGTAGTAGTAACAGAGACCATGTGGCCATGAAGCCCAGGCTATGTATTTACAGTACGACCCTTTAGGGAAAAATGCTTACTGACCCCTTGGTTAGGCTAAGCAGAGATCATCCAGGGAGCTGGTTTACATTTTAGTTTTCTAAATCTTTTTATTTTCCCAGCAGAGGAAGGTTGATATATCTGTAACAAGTTTATTCAACACAATTTTTATCAAACAGGATTAAAACATATACTCTTTTCTTCAAGACACAGAAGTACAAAGAACCTAATGACCATAGGACAGAATGTCCAGACTTTTAAAATATTTTATTGAGGTTCTCCTAAATCCTGTCTAATATCCATTTCCTATTTCTATTTCCATCCCCTCAACCCTTTTTTGTCTTCCCCTATTCTTATGTTCCATACTTGTGACTACTGTCAGCTGGGTGCCTGAGAGCAGTTCCATTCTTTGATTCAATGTTGAAAAAAAGGAACAGTGTTTATAGAAATATTTTAATATAGAGTTGAACAAGATTAGAAAAATACCACCGATTGTCATGTTGGTTTATTCCTTTTGTCTTCTACTTTTTATCCATTTGGATTCAGAAAACAAGAAGGGCAATAAGTTATGAAAATAATAGATTATGGAAAACAACTAAGAAAGATAATTTCCTACCATTAAGGTGTGTTTCATACAGAAAAGTAGCCACTATTTGTTTGTAAACTAGTCCATCCAGTTCAGAATGAGAAAGATTGAAACCGTATGCTTGGGTGTACTGCTTCAGTTCTTTGCTTATTTTGTTCTCACTTATATTTTTGGTAGTGGTAATGGTGGGGAGAAGTAAGTGGTTGATATATATTTACCAGTTGTATAAGCATATGATATCACAGATTTTCAAAACAAATCATCTATACGTAGTAAATGGATAGAGAAAAGTGATTTTCAAATCGTTTATTATTCATCACTGAGCGATACTTTTCAGTGACCTTGGAAAGTGACCTTGTGAAGCCACTTGGTGTCTTGGGTATTGCAAGCAAGGCATTCATGTTCACATGCTCTCATTTCTTATCCTGTCCTTTCCCCATCAAAGAGACGTGGCTACAATCCCGAGCATATGTATTTACCCTACAGCCACCTGGAAGGAAGCCAGTAATGTCATTACAGATGGCAATGTGCCCAGACTATCTTAAAAAAGCATCATCTCTGCTACTAATTAAGTTTCAGGAAGGGTGATGTTCGCTTTCATATTAACAAGTGTTTTGAAAGGCTGAGAGCAGATATGTTGGAAATAGTCTTCTGATTCTTAAGTTCATGGTTAAATTAATTGTCCTCCAGTTTTTCTGCTCCTGAGTTTGGAACACTGTTTACTAGATGATGAATGGTTTGGGGAGAGAAGAGAGTAGGTAATATTTACATGTTTTGTGTTTCATAGCAGGGCCTCAATTTATTTTCTTTTTATTTATTTAGGGTTCTGTATATTGGCCTGGCCTGCAATACAGCTCGCTATATTTATATTTCCTATTTGGAAAATGCCTGGACTGTTCTCCCCATGGAAGTTCTTCAAGGTAAGTTAACAGCTGGAATGTGAATTATGTTGCTGCCTAATTGAGCTAGGACTATGTGTAAGTCAGTGACCTTCAGCATCTGATTCTACAAAGGAAGGGTGGGCCTACTGTTGTATATGATTTTGAAGTGGTTGTTAAGGAAGAGAGCACATGAGGAGGCCAGTTCCTCAGTTACCCTTTGTGTTGAGCCAGACAAAACTGGTTTGAACCACACCCTGGTGATTAAACAAAGAAAGAGGAATCCACGCCTGCGTACCATTGTTAGGCACAGACTTCCAAAGGTGGTTTTCGAGCATAAAATAATTGCTTTTAGAGGTTTTTAGTGTTTTTGGTTTTGCAGATCAGTTATACTTATTAAAGGAAGATGTTTGTTATATTTTATCTCTATCAGTTTTTTTTGTTTGTTTTTTTTTTATGTCTGGTGATTTCTAACTGAAATTGTCTGATCACAATGTTCTTTTCCCATGAACCTTTACAATCTTTGCTCACGTATCCTGACCTGAGTTCTTCCTTTTGCTTCAGCGTAGTTTCCTATCAAGATATTACTCTGGAAGAATTTTTAGGAGACTCTTGCCATACGTCTTATCTGCACTGAAATATGGATTGCTATTCCAAGCTTATTGTTACATTAGCTCACATAATCCTGACTGTATTCTGAAGACCCCTGTTAGCAGCTCGGCTCAGCCACTTAGTTAGTGACTGGCATATGATTAAAATCACAGTGTAGGACAAGATCACCGGAGTTGAGGTATTCTGTGACAGCTCAAGCTCTCCAACCATTAATTGTGCTAAATATCTGTGATTACATATAATTTCTCTAGCTTTATAGGTTGCTATTATCATGTTTTCTAAAGCTAAGGATGCAAATGCAGTACAGTCAACATAATTTCTTATCATGATGAAATACCGAAGATTTTAATTCTCTAATATGAAATATTCACAAGTATACATCTAAAAAATACATAGGATGCAAGCTTAATTGTCAGGCTGATTCATGGCAATAAAAAAAGAACTTGTCCTAATAAAAAAATAGTTATAATCTGTATTCACATTTTAATTATAAAATTCAAATACATAACATGCTTTACAGGTTCTCTCTGATCTGATGCAATGGCATAATTGGTAAATTATTTTGTTTATAAATACATAAAAAATGGAAATTCGGCGTTATAATTAGAAATTGTTGTTTGTGATCATTAGAATCCTGGGACAGGCTCAAAAGGAAGCATGTATCTCAGCATTGTATCATTGAAAATTAACAAAGCACTGAATATGAGCCATAGGAAAGAATCGTATAATAACAAGGTATATGCAGGACAGTTCTTGGGAATTCCCACATCTAATTCTATTCTGTCCCTGGCTGGCTTAATTGCTTTATTTATTGGTTTGGCACAGTATGAGAACTCTATAAAAAAGACTAGTTAGAGCCAGCAGGTGGCATGGAGGTTAAGGCACTGGATCCCCAATGCCAGCTGCATGGTTCCAATTCTGAACTCAGTGGCTTGAAGATCATGCCAGATGTGTTTGTGCATGTACCCAAAATCCCAAGAGGGAAATGGAGGAGAAGGGTGGCAATCACCCATGAGGAGCGATTTCTCACTTACTTTCTCGCTCTCTCTGGTGAGCGCACGTGTCCTGTAAGAAAAAGAAAATAGAAAAGATTTGTATGCCTACAGAAAAGTATAAATAATATATGCATATATTTTTTTCTCTTAATTTAACACAAATTAAATGGAAAAGAACAGCTTGTATAAAGTGGCTCAAGAAAAGAAAGCATCCATGAAATGGTTAATTTCACAAGGGGAAAAACAAATGCTATCATGAATTTTAATTTTTTTTACTGGTAATTTATCAAAAAAAGATGGAATGACTACTAAAATTAAGAGCCAGGCAGTATTCTACATGCTGGGAATGTAATAATATATTGAAAAGTCATGGCAGTGTTTCATAGGAAAGCATAGAAAAATATGTCATGACTTTTCTAATGACCTGATATATGTATGTATATATACATATATACACACACACATATATATGTATTTATTTTATACAAATATAGATTTTATATAAATATATACTTATATATATTGAAAATGATATATATATATATATATATTTACACACACACACACATATATATAGACACACACACATACATATTGACTGGGCCCCAAGGTCTCACCATCTCTTCAAAAGTCAGGTGTGTGAACACATAATTACTACAAAGCATGTTGGATGGAATCATAGCCACATGTGCTAGGTAACAGACAAGGAACTCTGTGAGGGGAATAATTGCTTTTGTGAAGCAGGAAGTGAGAAGATAAAGATTTTATTGACAAATTCCCTAAGGAAATCAGAGGAGCGCAATTTCAAAGGGCAAATGGAAATCCCCCAGGTGGTGCATTCTGGCAGAAGCTAAGAGCCCTGTGTCACCACACGGAGGTGGAAAGCAGAATGAAATCGGCAGCCTAAGTGGAGTGCTGGCTCTACGTCCAGAGGCATCTCTCATCCTAAGCTGTCCACTCAGGATGTATTTTTGTAATATTTGTATGCGCCTCAGGGTACATTATTCCAGGATATAGGGAGCAGGCCAGGTTCTGCATCTAAACAGGAATTCTGTTTCCCGTGGCAGGCTGTACCTTATACTTCTGTGCCTCATTTTATTCTCCCTGTGTCAGTAGAAACCTAGCTACTGATCTGAGGCACATAAAAAGAAGATCTAGGGGCCAAACAGCAGTGCAACAGTAAATTATGAAGCTCTTTGAGGCAATCCCGTATGGGAATGTTTCTGACTTAAAAGTTCCTTGAATATACCAGGCACAAGCATGCCTGTAACATGCAAGCTGAAGCCTGGGGTTAGATCATGACATTGCAACCCTGTTGAGAGGGCTCTGTCTCCTGAGAAGAGAATGAAGGAGAAGGGATTGTGGAATGGCCATCCACCCTAGGGGGTGATTTCTTTTTCCCTCTTTTTGTCTCTGTCTCTTTCCAGAGAGTACATGTGCCCTGTGACAAAACCAATAAATAAACCAAACAAACAAACATACAAGCAAGCAAGCAAGCAATCTCTGTAAACATAGTCTTCTAGTCCAGTGGTGGGCTCTGTGACCAGTTTTCACAGAGCTCTTTGCTTCAGAAGCTGGAAGAGGTGGTGTTATTCCCTCGCAGAAGAGAGTGCTGAGGATGAAAGCTGTAAAAGAAAAACAGAATTCCTTGCCTTTGTTTTCCTCAAGCCCACCCCACAGAAAACAGTGGATCACCCATGTGGAATAAATCCTGCACCACAGGAAAACACTTCTGATGGTGTCCTCAGAAGTGACACCATTTTGTGTCACTTCTTGTCCATCTTCTGATGGACAAGGTTTGTTTTGCCAGTCTTCTGCCTTTATTTCTTTGGAAAGATTTTGCAGCCCTTATGCTTAAAGGAGTCTCTACTTGGGATGCAATAAGGCACAAAATTATTTTAACCAAACACTGAAAGACTTAATTACAGGACAAGCCCAGTTATGATAGATGCATCTTAATTTCTTGAATGGAAATGTGACCCGATGGTCACCAAAGACCTAGTCTTAGAAAGAGGGTTGGGAAGTGGGGTGTTGTTTCTCATCATTGATGATTTTGACATTGAACAGTAGCACTTCATTCTTTGGTTCCCAACCAGTATCACACAAAACAGTTGTCTTAAAAAATATATAAGCAAAATCTTTCTTTTCATCCTGTTACCCCTTGCCTCACCCCTAAACACCATGAGAACTATTACTACCTAATGGACATTGAAGAGGAGGAGACAAAAGGTGTGCTTTATTCCACTTCTCTGGCTATCCATCTCTTCCTCCCTGGGGTTTACCTGTTACTAGTGGAGCGTTCCTTGTTATCGTCATTCCTTGAGGCTCTTGCTCATCCTCTCAGCAGTCTGTCTCCTCACGCCTGTGGGCAATAATTAGCAGATGAGATGGGGAATAAGCAAATTCCTCCTCCCTAAGCTTCATGGTTGGAAGGAGGTGATGCTGACATTTATCTGGGGATCAAGGTGAGCCCTTGGAATTGGCTGTCATTTACAATCGTGAGGTTCTTTCTTCTCCATGATCTTTCTCACATTCAATGACCAATATTCTCTTGAAACTTCATCCTTTTAACAATTCAGCCATCATTTACAGCAAATGTGTTTTTCAGTAGAAACTGGTGGTACCTTATAAAGAAACAGAAGACTTATTTCTTACCCATAAGGAGCCTACAGTTTAATTTAAAAAGAGATAGTAGAGACCAACAGATGGCTCAATGGTTATGCCACTGGACTCCCACATCTACCACAAGTTAACTCCTGGACCTGGTTGTTTTAAACTCATGCCAGGCTCATGTGCGTGTGTGCCCAAAATCCTGAGAGGAGAATGGAGGAGAAGGGATTATGGCATAGTTATCACCAATGGGGGTGAGGATGATTTCTTGATTTCTGTTTCTCTTTCCGTATGGCACACATGCCCTATAGCAAAAATCTCTCTCTAAAAAAAAAGTTGAAAAATAAAGAGATAGTGGGCTTAAGTACCTGAAAGCACCGTGGGGTGTGTGTGTGTGTGTGTGTGTGTGTGTGTGTGTGTGTGTGTGTGTATGTATGTGAAAGAGAGAGAGAGTGAAATGGATGGATACATAGATGGAGGGGTTAGTTTATATTTAATTTTCAAGGTCTCATTTTAGTAACTCATTTTTTCTTTACTTTTATGCCAAGAACATTTGAACATTCGTGATTGTGATCAGGAATACAAACATTTGATAAAAATTAGCCCAGATTTGTTATGTTCCTTTCTGCTTGTGGGTATTGGTGTGAATTCCTGTAAAACTCTGAGAAGAATGTAATCAGAATTATTCTTGCTCTTAAAAGATATTTGAGGAGAGTAAAGCCAGACTGGAGGCTCTTGTGAGTGATGAGCTTCTTGAGTTCTTTGACTTGATAGTTCAGCACTGAGGGGTAAAAATGAGGGTCTGCTCCTTCTCTGGAGGGAGCC